GTACATGACGTCATCTCTTTATACCATTTAAAATAAATCTCCCTGCTGCAGCTATTTATAAGAAAGTCGCCCCTTTCTGAATATATAGGAAAGTTGAGGTTGATAATTGTGATTTCGGATTTTATTTGTTATCTGAGACTATAAGACTGTTTTTGTCCCATTCGGAAAACTGTTTTTTGTTGTTTTTTTTTATTCCATTTACAATTCGTGTAGATCTCTGAAACTAACAGATAGTGTTCTGAATATTGATTTTTCCCTTGTTTTTAACAATTATTACTTATAACTATTTCGAAAGTTGTGGACAGACCGTAAGTTGTGTAAATCTTTAACGTGCACGAAAATTGAAAACCGGCCCTAATTATGTGAATTCCCAACCGATTTTCGAAAAAGTTATATTTTTGTACAGCTTGGGATATTGCGGATGCGATAACGGCCGAATTGAAATACCATGTCGTTCTCATTTTTTCTTCAAAATTTGAAAATTTACTAAAATTGTTATTTCTTGGAATTTTGAGTTTTCGCTTACATATTTGGATTGGCGGCGTCTGTTCGATTCTACCGATCTAGGATTATCATGATGTGAATTGTTCAACTCTATTTTTCAATTACCTTCTCTATCGCAATGCGAATACAAAGAACGTGTCAATATCTGAGTTATGTTAGTGTATTGGGTTGTGGTGAGGAAAGTCTTTTGTCATGCATCTGGCGATCGTGTGACGCCTTGGCACGGTGAAAGCCTTCAGTCTTGCAAGCAAGTCTAGTGATGATTGTTTTTACTTGAGTATATCTCAGAAACTACTTATCGAATCAATCCGATATCCTTGGTTTTACATAGGAAAGATGGCATGACTTAGAAATTAAATGTATTTCGAACATTCTGCGACAATGTGAAATGTCCGAAATCACCAAAGTTGTTTTTTTTCTAAATATTGCCATAATATTAACAATAATTGCCGGATTTTAACATTTCATACATTTTGACATAGCCAGAGACAAGGAACATAGCTACCTGTCTTTAGATATTTGATTTTGGATGAAACTTCGGAAATATTAGGCGCGAAATTTTGAAAATTTAAATTTTTACAAAAAATTTTTTTATTAATGAATATGTCTTTATGGTATTTTATCCAGGGCTATAGGGTCATCTGATTTGAGCAAAAATATGAACAATTTTTGACTCGGTAATTTGCGTTAGTCGCCATTGGCTAATTCAGTTTTTCGGTCCTAAATTGATTATTTAGTGTTCGATTTGTTTAAAACAAAATTCATATGCTCCTTTTTCCAAAATGTCATTTTTTTGTTACCGATAGAGTTTTCTGTCGGCATCGGAAGCGACATAATTTTAACAAAAACTATAATGTTGACAGTTCGGTACCACAAATATTATTTTTTCAAAATTTGATATTACCAAAAGGATGCGCCATGTGCACAAAACATCGGACTCGGTTTTCTTAATTTCGATTTCGCTTTCGGGCTATTTCGATTAACAGGCGAAAAACGGTATAAAATTAAGCTATTTACAACCCATTGAAAAAAGGTGAAAAAATGAGCTATTCACAACCCATTCAGACTTTTCATATTTTAATATTTTTTTTCGCAACTTTCATAAGCACTAATCCATACGAAGAGAATGTATGTGAAAATTAGTTTGTAATATGAGCGGTTGCCGAGAAATAGGCAATTTTTTCACGCGTCACTTTTCACTTTTTTTGCCTGTAAAGGAGTCAATTATTATTCGATTTTCATTTTTTTACCATTCGATGCCTTGTGCTAACTTTGACTAGGTCAAACCAATTTAACATTTTCACAAAATTCATATGCTCCTTTTTCCAAAATGTCATTTTTTTGTTACCGATAGAGTTTTCTGTCGGCATCGGAAGCGACATAATTTTAACAAAAACTATAATGTTGACAGTTCGGTACCACAAATATTATTTTTTCAAAATTTGATATTACCAAAAGGATGAGCCATGTGCACAAAACATCGGACTCGGTTTTCTTAATTTCGATTTCGCTTTCGGGCTATTTCGATTAACAGGTGAAAAACGGTATAAAATTAAGCTATTTACAACCCTTTTTTTGCCTGTAAAGGAGTCAATTATTATTCGATTTTCATTTTTTTACCATTCGATGCCTTGTGCTAACTTTGACTAGGTCAAACCAATTTAACATTTTCACCGTCAGCGGAAATGACATCATTTGGGAAAAAAATGTATTTTTAGCCTTTAAAAGAGATATTTTATTCAAATGATTCTTATTTGTAATCATTTTAAAATTATGATATTTGATTCAAATCAACAAATAGGATAAACGCGTACGATCATACAGATACCACAAAAGGTTCCTAACCTGTACGGTTGCAGAGAAATAGACCATTTCCTACAAGTCACCATGTGATACCTTATGCCACTTATGATTTCATAGAACTAATTTAACATTTTCATTATCCCCGGAAGTAATGTCATTTTGGCAAAATAATGTATTTTTGGCCCTCAAATCAAACATTTTTTTTGAAGTGAGTTATACTTATTATTATGATCTATATGATCAATACGATCATATAGATGTCCAAAAATTGCTTCTAGCATCTTCCCTTGTCGAGAAACAACCAATTTTCTCAGGATCACTTCTTAAGACTTAAAATTTTTATCCTTTTTAATTTCCCATTAGAATGTCAGGTAACTTAGCGGTAAGTTAGTAACAGGATCACTTTTTTTACACGTGTAACACATGGTAACAAATGTATAAATAGGATTGATATTGCTGGATTTGGTTGATTCTGCGTCCATTTTATAACAAGTCTGCAATGTTTATGTGGAAATCTGTTTATCGGTTTCATTGGTACTGGAAGTGATATGAGTTCAAGGGTAACGTGGCACTTAAAGTGATATAAGTTCAAGGGTAACGTAGCACCGGTGAAACCCGTCATTACTGCTCCGCAGTTCTAGTTTTTGTTGTTTTTAGTTATTTCCACATCTACTGAACAATATATATTCAGCCTCTACATGCCAGTCTCATTCTAGGATTTCCTTTTTTTAAAGTTGTGTATGTACAGTAGGCCAATTCTTAACTGCAGGTAGCGTAATGATCCAGAATCTGAATCCTCATAGAAATTTAATTTTATTTGTAAGACATGCTTACAATCATTAGATAACTTTGGCGGCGGTACTGAAACGTCACTATTCGACTCGTTCTTACATATCCTACCCATGGTGATAATATAATTTGAAATAAAATAATAATATACAATCGGGAAAACCTGTATATTTTATATGCGGTATGAAGCCACAGTAAATAAAATTCAGTTATCAATGCGCGCATTCTAATGTGACCTTGAGAGTAGAGACTACATCAACTTCCGAGGCGAAAAGTCGACCGCACGACAGCAAACCAAAATCATAGGTCGCTAATATCGGATCACGCGGCTAAGTGGGTAAAACGCTGGTTCGCTAGCCTGGAGATCGGGTGTTCGATCCCTGCATTGGCAAAGAAAGTTCATTCAGATTTTCCGGCGTGGTTTCCCCTTGTCAGTGATGCAGGATGGAGGGCCTAACAAGGATAGCTGTCTAGTCGTTCGGATGGGACGAAAAATCGAGGACCCGTGTACACATTTGCGTGCACGTAAAAGATCCCTTGGCAGTAGGTCGTAGCGCCGCTGCCCGGGCAAAATTTCCCTCCTAGCACACTGTATGCCGTCTTCATTAGCCCAGGTTAGGAGCAGAACAGTAGGACGTTAAATCACATTTCATTTCATTTCATTTCAATACCAGACTTTATCATACAGACTATTTTGTTAACTCGCATTGCATTTATTAAGACTACAACCACTTCCGAGGCGAAACTCCGAAAGTCGTCAGAACGACAACGAGCCAAAATGATAGGTCGCTAATAGCGCGTGTGTTTATTTCCTAATTTCTACTTTTCGAGTTGCAGTATGGCTTGGTATGCATATTCGCGCCTCCTTACTGACATCAATAAATACAAAGGTAGACAAGAAGGTACACAAGCCAAAATGCAAGTCGAAAATAAGAAATTAGGAAAAAACGAGGGGCGCTATTATCGCAGTGTATTATTTCTTAATTTCCTATTTTCGAGTCGATTTTGGCGTGCTGTCACCTCACATTTTGTCGTAACTTCTACTTTTCGACTTTCGTGTTTTGAAGGGACGAAAAGTTGAAAATATGAATGGTAAAGGATGAAAACAAAGTTTGAAAAGGTTAAATCACTCAAAAATCTAACTTAGCAATACTTAAATTGTTCATGAATAATGTTTTTAAAGGTAAGTCTTATCATGTATGGTGAAATTTTCTACACATCTATCAACTCTTAAAGCCGTAAAAATCTATTGTTTACAGTAATATTTATATTTTTGTTTGTTACATCGACTTTAGAAAATTCCGTTCATTATTTTTTAAATTTGATACATGTATATTATTAACAATTATTAGTACTGACAGGCGTTTGATAAAAAAAAACATCAAGCAAACCCAGTTCCGCATTTAATCTTTGTCTGTACTCTTGTCAGTGGTGCAGGACGGAGGGACTGACAAGGCAGCTATCTAGTCATTCGGATGGTACGAAAAACCGAGTTACATTGTACACATTGACTCCTTTGCATTTGGAATTCGATATAAGAGTTGATCGTAGCGCCGCTGTCCAGTCAAAATTTCCGCCATAGCACACTGTATGGCGTTTTACCGTCTTTATTAGCCCAGTCGGGGCAGACAGCAGTCACAGCAACCCTCCCCCAGGGTTTTTTTTATTCAATTTTCAATGTTTTAGGCAAGGCACCAGTGGTTGCAACAATCTGAATAATATCCAACTACAACTTCCGTAAAGTGGAAGAGAGGATTGAATCGATTGGGTGATGAAAAGTGGAAGAGAGGATTGAATCGATTGGGTGATGAAAATATACAAATTCCGTCAAAACCCCGGACTATTGCCTTAGGAATATGGTATTTCCCTGCTGTAACACCCACTCTAATCTTTTTTTGTTACAGCTGAATGTGTTCCTGATCAACCATGGTGTATCGGAATCGAAAAGCGCTATTGTAATACTTTCAGCCTTTATAATACAACCTGTCCTTATGAGTGCGGTGTATGCAGGGGTAAGCACGTGCATGTCTCTTCTTATTTATTAAAGGGTGGGAGACGGGGGAGGGGGTGGTAAGGCATGCGTGTTGTTATATCATAAGGTCTGCCATTCAGTCAAGTGATATGGTTTCGATTCCCCGCTTGTACGTGACTGTCCAAAATCGGCGGTTCCTCGAAAAGTTAAAGACCCCTGCGCACAAGCGTAATATTCAGATAAAATTGAACCATATGTTAGTCCCGAAAGAACTACAGGAGTTTTTCCGGCGACCTTCACAAATCCAAAAAGGTTCTTTTCGTTGTGCGATAACGTTGCAGTAACATCTCAACGAAACTCTTGATCTACGATGTTTCGTCAAATGTTCAATAACAGACCAACATTGACGGAAAGCATTCATACATAGTAATCCTGGTACCTTTTGTTTCCATTTCCGTGTAGCTTGATCACAAGGGTACTTCACTACAAGTATCCTCTGATTTGGTACAATACTTATTATTAAATTAACCTGGATAATCCCAATGTAATGCAGTTTAGGTCCATTTGCTGCACGAATAGTGAGAAATGAAGTTTCATGAAGGTCATCTGAAGATTTCAAATATTTCTCATAAAATGACTGTACGATGGTTGAAACTTGAGATCCGGTATCAAATAATAATCTGCAAGTTGCATCCTCATTTTCAACTTCAACCTCATGTAGTTTCGTCCTTTTTCTATATTTTAGTGGAGCCAGTTAAAGTGTAACGGGGCACCGGTGAAACCCGTCATCACTGCATCGCAGTTCTTGGCGGTTATACATGATCACAATGACGGTTTTGAAAACCTATTATTTATTTTTTTCTGGAAGTTAAATTTCTGGGTCCCGGCGACTGCAGTTCGGGTTTGCACGAGTGGGCTTTCGGTTTCAAACCCATATAAATAGGGTTATAGCGGGACACTTGCAATGACAGGAATAAACGCGTTTGTGGCCGTCTAATTTTCAAAATTGTATCGAAGGGTGTGGGGGGGGGGGGGCATAAATCCCGTCGCCATGCCTCGAGCCTTTGGGGCAGGATTTATTTTCAGGTAATCCATTCCTTCTCCGAAAGCCCCGTCGCCACTCCCGGCATCAAAACTTAATGATCGAGCCAGTACGCCTGTTAACATGCCACATGAGAGAACATAATCCTTGTTTCGAATTTGATATTAATTGATCTTATATATATATTTGATAACGATGTTTTTTGTCTAATATTCGAATTAATAGTCGCCTGGCGGGGTTCCGATTCCCGGATTGTACGCGACAAGGAGTAGAGTCGCCTGTCTAACATCGTGGGTTTTCTCCAGGTCCTCCGGTTTCTTTCCAGGTAAAGACGCCGACGCGACAAACGAATTATTGAATTAAAATTGAACCATGTTATAGTCCCGAAATGACCTAGTTTGTGTCGAGTCGACGTTAAACCTCTCTCTCCAACTACACCAACTTAAATTTTAAATCACCATTAAAAAACTACACAGTTCGATTGTTAATGTATTATTAATAATTCAAAAATATCTTTTCTTCGTACATTGTTCAACATACATTATGGTGCGCAATATATTTATTTCTCTATGAGACTAACAATATTATATGCCATTATAATCACACCGATGTCCGCTGGTACTGGGTGTAGGTGTAGAAAAGAAATCAATATTAATGTTTATATCGAGCTCAACTTGAAACAAATCACCTCAAACGTCGATCTTTTCATATCCAGGCAAACTTGTATTTTAATTGTCACTGTAGTATTATAAACAGTAGTATTAAGAAATTTGAGGGCGTGCAACATATTGTTAAAAAAAAAAATAATAACTAAGCGTACACATGTTAAATTCAATGTCCATTTGCGCGTACAAAAGAAAACGAAGAGTCCCGAATACGAAAATTAAAAATTTGTGTCACTAGTTTCAGATCAATTTGTTGAGATTTTAATGTGACCAGGTACCTTAACTCTTTGTGACAAAAAAACCTGCGGCTGCAACGCGACATGGCTGGTCAAAATATCAACAATATGAAACCAAACTTTCAAAAGGTTAAATCATTTAAAAATCTAACTTAGCAATACTTTAATTGTTCATGAATAATGTTTTAAAGGTAAGTCTTATCAGGTATGTTAAAATAAGCCTCAAATATAGTTTGTTTATTGCATATTTTTCTGTACGTGGATCACCCTGTATTGCTGTAAATACTAATACTTTTTTTTAATTTGCTTTATTATTAACAGTTATTAGTACTGAAAGACGTTTGATAAAAAAGACATCAAGCAAACCCTGTTCCGCATAGAATCTTTGTCTGTACCCTTGTCAGTGGTTCAGGACGGAGGGACTGACAAGGCAGCTGTCTAGTCGTTCAGATAGGACGAAAAACCGAGTTACCGTGTACACATTGACTCCTTGGCATTTGGAATTCGATATAAGAGTAGGCCGTAGCGCCGCTGTCCGGGCAAAATTTCTGTCATAGCACACTGTACGGCGTTTGCCCGTCTTTATTAGCCCCAGTCAGGGCAGACAGCAGTCACAGCAACCCTCCCCCAGGGTTTTTTTATCAATTATTGTCCAATGTTTTAGGGAAGGCACCATTGGTTGCAACAATCTGAATAGTATCCAACTACAACTTCCGTAGAATAGAGGAGAGGATTGAATAGATTTGGGTGATGAAAACAGACAATCTCCGTCAAAACCCCGGACTATTGCCTCAGGAGTATGGTATTTCCCTGATGTAACACCCACTCTAATCTGTTTTTGTTACAGCTGAATGTGATCCTGATGAAACATGGTGTAGTCAAATCGGAAAACTCGAATGTAATAGCTCCATACGCGTTAAAAAATACTGTCCTTATGAATGCGGTGTATGCCAGGGTAAGCATATTAATGTCTCTTCTTATTTATTAAAGGGTGGGGGTGGTAAGGCATGCGTGTTGTTATATCATAAGGTCTACCATTCTCTCAAGTGATATGGTTTCGATTCCCCGCTTGTACGTGACTAGGAGTAGAGTGACTGTCCAAAATCAGGGGTTCCTCCAAATGTTAAAGACCCCTGCCCACAAGCGTAATATTCAGATAAAATTGAACCATATGTTAGTCCCGAAAGAACTACAGGAGTTTTTCCGGCGACCTTCACTAATCCAAAAAGGTTCTTTTCGTTGTGCGATAACGTTGCAGTAACATCTCAACGAAAATTCTTGAGCTACGATGTTTCGTCAAATGTTCAATAACAGACCAACAATGACGGAAAGCATTCATACATAGTAATCCTGGTACCTCTTGTTTCCATTTCCGTGTAGCTGGATCACAAGGGTACTTCACTACAAATATACAACTGGCGGTAGTTTTTACTTTGATGTCCATAGCAGTTATATCTCATAACAACCTGTCATGACATCATCATAGGTTGATATATTCGTTCATATCAACCGCTGATGACGTCATGACAGGTTGATATTTCATAACAACCGCTAATGACATCATCTCAGGTCAATATATACGGCTCATATCAACCGCTGATGACGTAGATGATCGAAATAATACAAAAAAACACAGAAATAAATTTTTATTCTTTTGACAATTAAAAATTTGTTATGGTACAGTTTCTAACATTCAGGACCGAAATAGACGGCGTACTTATCGACATACATGTATTTAGATCGGTTATCCATGTCTAAGACATCTTTCAGAATTTTCTTTTCGTCCACATTGCGATTATTTCTCCAAACACTACAAGACTTGAAAGTATTTATCGCCCAAGAGTTCCTTTGTAAAGTATTTTTGGGTACAGTCCACTTAAAACAGTCGGTCAAATCCTTCTCTGAACATACCGAAAACCTTCAATCATGGTTCACTGTCAGAATTCTTGGAAAATAATGCCTTTTGGTCCAAATTTTCTGCAGGCTTTGGATAGATCCTCATCGATATTTGCATTCACATCTATTCCATCGTCAATATGTTGGCTAAAAAGGATTGATTATTCGTCTGACTTCGTATTACTATCCATTTTGTTTTTGCTTTCAATTCAATAGTCCAAAATGGCGACGTATAAACAAAAACATGCACGTGATTACTTCGGTAATTTTCGCTATTTGGCGGAAACTATCGAGCAATTATCCAATCGTTGTTGCCTATTAAATTTAAGGGTGAAATGGCGTTGTATATGTCGGATATATCCTATACGTAACCTCTGATTTGGTGCAATGCTTATTGTTAAATTTACCTGGATAATCCCAATGTAAGGCAGTTTAAGTCTATTTGCTACACGAACAGTGAGAAATGAAGTTTCATGAAGGTCATCTGAAGATTTCAAATATTTCTCATAAAATGACTGTACGATGGTTGAAACTTGAGATCCGGTATCAAATAAAAATCTGCAAGTTGCATCCTTATTTTCAACTTCAACCTCATGTAGTTTCGTCCTTTTTCTATATTTTAGTGGCGCCAGTTAAAGTGTAACGGGGCACCGGTGAAACCCGTCATCACTGCATCGCAGTTCTTGGCGGTTATATTTGATCACAGTGACGGTTTTGAAAACTTATTATTTATTTTTTTTTCTGGAAGTTACATTTCTGGGTCCCGGCGACTGCAGTTCAGGTCTGCATCGAGTGGGCTTTCGGTTTCAAAAACATATAAATAGGGTTGTAGCGGGACACATTTTCAAAATTGTATCGAAGGGTGGGGGCATATATCTCGTCGCCATGCCTCAAGCCTATGGGGCAGGATTTATTTTCAGGTAATCCATCCCTTCCCCGAAAGCCCCGTCGCACTCCCGGCATCAAACCTTAATGTTCGAGTCCGTGCGCCTATTAACATGCCACCCGAGAGAACATAATCCTTGTTTCGAATTTGATGTTAATTGATCTTAACTCCAGTATGTCAAAGGGGAATTATGTATTTATAACGTGAATGTTCATCTTCGACTATTAAGCTTCTGAGAGAATAATTTTATTATTCTGTTCTCTTTGGCTTCCAGCAACTGTTCATTGATGAAATCCAATTTATATATTGGTGCTACCTTGAATTTGCCCTTTCCACAGGTTTCTTGGCACTAATGTAAAAGTTATTTAGATATAGATTATTGCACCCAAATATTAGTATTTTTGGGGATATATATATAAGAAACAATGTATAAAACGATCTAATTCTCAATGCATTAAAATGGCCTGACGATTCGTTTGATAACGATGAAAGTACTAGACAAAAAAAATAATTTTAGTGTTTTTTTCTCTAATATTCGAATTAATAGTCGCCTGACGGGGTTTCGATTCCCGGTTTGTACGTGACAAGGAGTAGGGTCGCCTGTCCAACCTCGTGGGTTTTCTCCAGGTCCTCCGGTTTCTTCCCAGGTAAAGACGCCGACGCGACAAACGAATTATTGAATTAAAATTGAACCATGTTATAGTCCCGAAATGACCTAGTTTGTGTCGAGTCGACGTTAAACCTCTCTCTCCAACTACACCAACTTAAATTTTAAATCACCATAAAAAAAACTACACAGTTCGATTGTTAATGTATTATTAATAATTCAAAAATATCTTTTCTTCGTACATTGTTCAACATACATTATGTTGCGCAATATATTCATTTCTCTATGAGACTAACAATATTATATGCCATTATAATCACACCGATGTCCGCGGGTACTGGGTGTAGAAAATAAATCAATGTTCATGTTTATATCGAGCTCAACTTTAAACAATTCATCTCAAACGTCGATCTTTTCATATCCAGGCAAACTTGTATTTTAATTGTCACTGTAGTATTATAAACAGTATTATTAAGAAATTTGAGGGCGTGCGACATATTGGTAAAAGAAACCCCAACAAATAACTAAGCGTTTGCGCATGCGTACACATGTTAAATTTAATGGCCATTTGCGTGTACAAAAGAAAACGAAGAGTCCCGAACGCGGAAATTAAAAATTTGCTTCACTAGTTTCAGATCAATTTGTTGAGATTTTAATGTGACCAGGGACCTTAACTCTTTGTGACAAAAAAAAACCTGCCGCTACAACGCGGCATGGCTGGACAAAATTTCAACACGATGAAACAAACTTTCAAAAGGTTAAGTCACTCAAAAATCTAACTTAGTAATACTTTAAGTGTTCATGAATAATGTTTTTAAAGGTAAATCTTATCATGTATGTTAAAATAAGCCTCAAATATAGTTTGTTTATTGCATATTTTTCTGATCGTGGATCACCCTGTATTGCTGTAAATACTAATACTTTTTTTTAATTTGCTTTATTATTAACAGTTATTAGTACTGAAAGACGTTTGATAAAAAAGACATCAAGCAAACCGAGTTCCGCATCGAATCTTTGTCTGTACCCTTGTCAGTGGTCCAGGACGGAGGGACTGACAAGGCAGCTGTCTAGTCGTTCGGATAGGACGAAAAACCGAGTTACCATGTACATATTGACTCCTTGGCATTTGGAATTTGATGTAAGAGTAGGCCAAAGCACCGTAGGCCGGGGAAAATTTCCGTCATAGCACACTGTATGGCGTATGCCCGTCTTTATTAGCGCAGTCGGGGCAGACAGGAGCCACAGCACCACTCCCCAGGTTTCTCTTTATCAATTGTCCAATGTTTTAGGCAAGGCACCAGTGGTTGCAACAATCTGAATAGTATCCAACTACAACTTGCGTAAAATGGAGGAGAGGATTGAATAGATTGGGTGATGAAAATAGACAAACTCCGTCAAAGCCCCGTCTATTGCCTCAGGAATATGGTATTTCCCATTTGTAACACACCCACTATAATCTGATTTTGTTACAGGTAATTGTGCTCCTGATAAAACATGGTGTAGTCGAATCGACAAAATGTATTGTGATAGCTCCAGAGGCGTTAAAATAAACTGTCGTTATAAGTGCGGTGTATGCAAGGGCAAGGGTAAGCATATTAATGTCTCTTCTTATTTATTAAAGGGTGGGGGAGAGGGGTGGGGTGGTAAGGCATGCGTGTTGTTATATCATAAGGTCTGCCATTCAGTCAAGTGATATGGTTTTGATTCCCGCTTGTACGTGACTAGGAATAGAGTGACTGTCGAAAATCGGGGGTTCCTCCAAAAGTTAAAGACCCCTGCGCACAAGCGTAATATTCAGATAAACTTGAACCATATGTTAGTCCCGAAAGAACTACAGGAGTTTTTCCGGCGAACTTCACAAATCCATGAAGGTTCTTTTCGTTGCGCGATAACGTTGCAGTAACATCTCAACGAAACTCTTGATCTACGATGTTTCGTCAAATGTTCAATAACAGACCAACAATGACGGATAGCATTCATACCTAGTAATCCTGGTACCTCTTGTTTCCATTTCCGTGTAGCTGGGTCACAAGGGTACTTCACTACAAGTAACCTCTGGTTTGGTACAATTATAATACTATGGGGTCTATTTACTGTAGAGGTTACCTAAGTTCTGTAGAAGTGTTCTGGTTCATGTTTTGTCATCGTTAGCTAGTACCACTGACAACACGAAATAGGCTAACAAGAATGTGTCTGGTGGTATAAAGTCGGGCAATGACATCATAGTCTGATAATCCAAATATGGTAATCCCATGTGTTAGAATCGTGGTGCCAAATAAGTACACTGTGTTGAGATCTAGGGTAGCATCTTTGCACCTGACCAATCCGGTAAAGGAAGCACCTGGTCAATTTCCCGGGGCTCGATACATGACTCATGCACGTAACCTCTTTATAACAAACGTGCGCGGTTTAATTTCCTTTAGATATCACTGAGACCGTTCCCGGGGGAAGGTCGATTATACCAAAAGCCTCCTAGGCTGGGAAACAAACATCGTTCGGATTAGAGCACCCTGTTAAGTCGTAGGAGAGCCATATGATGTTAGGGGGTACGTCAGTAAACTTGTCCTTACGAAATGGTGGGTTAAAGAGAATAATGGTAATCGTAATCTAGTAAACACAAGCTCGGGAAAGAGAACTCATATTTAATATCATAGCTGTGTACGTAGTTTCCTGTATTATGGATGTTATAAAGATATAAAAACATAGTTAACGTAAAAAGTGTTCCAGTCCTAATTTAACATTGGAAATAGTTATCATGATGTGAAGTCGAAGAAATTCCTAGACGATAGTATCACGGGCCGTTGTCTGGAAGTTCCTGATTACACATCTGTCGGGCCGTAGTGTCACACAATGCTTCTAAATATTATTAAATTAACCTATTAACATGCCACCCGAGAGAACATAATCCTTGTCGTAATTATCCCTTCCCCATTTTACAACTTCCTTAATTGGACTGAATGATACAAATTTAGCCCTAGTTAACAGTGATTTAAGGTTTTTATATTGTCTTTTTGACGGTATAAACGTTTGTGCATCAATAAGTTTTTTTCATTTTTTTTATCTTGTTGAAGTAGTGGAAAATGTGTTTTAATTACGCTGGAAAAATTAGGATTGTGAGGATTAAAGGTGGTGGCAAATGCAATTATATTGTGATTTGTATCTTTTATCTTTACCTGCCTTAATTCCGTTAACGGTATTTTACTAGCCCTTCGAATTCCGTCATTAATTAATGTGGAGGGATATTTGCGGGGTAGCAGAAATTCTCTCAATTCCTGTAGTCTTTGAAATTTAGTTACCTTGTTAAACACGACGGTACAGATACGCCTAGCCAATTTATATTTGACAGTGGAAAAGAATTTTTTGTCAATGAAAGTATGAACTGTAAAGTAACTCATGTATTATATGTCATAAAATGTAGTGGCTGTGCCGATCTTTAAATCGGTTGCACGAACAAGTTACAAAACAGAGTAACGGTTCATAGACAACATATCAGGGAACCAAATTTAAGGAAGGTCCCTTTAAGTGAGCACCTTGATATCTTCGGTAAGGGCGAGTTCAAAATATACCGTTTCTTTAAGATGCCGTATTCAGATCCCATGAAAATGAGATTGAAGGAACAATATTTTATTGGGGTACTCCCACTGTGCCAGTTTTTAATCCCTGGATTATCGGATTTTAATTAACAGCCTTAATTGGCGTAATCAAGTGGGCCAATTTTATGGCGTAGAGGACTGTGTTCAACAGATAATTCGTTCAGCATATGGCATGTAAACTGTGTTCATCTTATTTTATCATGATAATAAGCAATTTTTTGTTAAAACTTACCTAAGTGGTGAAACCCGTTCAGAGGACACTATATATATGGAACCACTGTCAACAACATTGATCTGACAGATATCACAAGATGGCAAACGTTCAAGTAGATGTTAGTTTCATACCAAATGCTCAGGGTGGCCAAAATCTGGTGTATAGAGGGCATAAATTTAGAATTCGAACGAGGAAAGGGGATAGGGTCCATTGGAGATGCTGTAAGACTACTTGTCCATCGACCATCAATACCCTCGACAACCTGATCACCACATACAGAGATTGCCACAACCACCCGGCCAACAACGATAAGATTGCGGTGGACAAGTTCCTTGCCAACTTAAAGGATCTTATAAAGGCTGACCATCGACCAGTACCAACACTCTATCAGGAAGAACTTACAAGTAAGTTATCAAACAATTTGCATTTCAAATTAATATTCAAGCTTATATCAATTTATCATGAATTTATTTCACAAATTTATATTAATTTATTACAAGTTTATATCAATTTATTACAAGTTTATATTAAGTTATTACTTGTTTATATCAATATTTATTCCATTCACCAAATGTTACATTTAGTTCTTATTTTCGTTTTTTGTTTTGTTTCAAGAGTTAGTCGAGAGGACTTCGTGCAACATGTTCCCTTATTTCACTCCGCAGAATCTTCCCTGTACCGATCGAGAGCGAAGACGCTGCCATGTCTTCCGAAGTTCAGGAACAACATCAACTTACCTGAAGAATACCAGAAGACAACAGACGGCGAAGACTTCCTCCTCCACACAGAAAACTACAACAAATTGATGATCTTTGCCACTTTGGACAACCTGAGACAACTAGCAGCAGCGGATACATACTTATGTGATGGTACTTTCAGCAGCTGTCCATCACTCTTTTATCAGATGTACACCATTCATGCATCTGTACACAACAAGATTGTTCCACTGGTCTACGCTCTGCTACCAGACAAGAAACAGTCGACTTACATGCAACTATTCACCATCATAAATGAGAAGGCTGCACAATACAACATCAATCTGCGCCCTGGTGTGATGCTGCCCTGAACGCCACTGCCAGCGTCTTCGACTGCCAACTAAAGGGCTGCATATTCCATTTTCGACAGGCAATCTGGTAGGAGCACAGAGATCCGGTCTGCAGGTAAATATACATGTAACCATACTGGTATACTACATTAAAACCAACGTATATATTCAATATTCCTTTATGGCACTATTCAAATGTACAAGCATTGGAAAGAAGTAATTATACATTGTAAATGATTCATACTGTTTTGCAGCACTGTGAACTAATTTATCTATTTATTAATTTCAGGTGGCTTTTGCAGAAAATCCAATGGTTTAAAATTTGATTGTCCGCAGAGCAGCAGCTCTTCCACTGGTACGACAAAGAGACATAGACGATTACTGGCTGAATGCTCTAGAAGAATCTGATTTGGAATATCCCGGAGTACGCGAGTTTACCGATTACGTGACTGAGCAGTGGGTGGAAGGAGGTGAGCGAGATATGTGGAACCATTTTCAGACAACTGGCCCACGCACAACCAACAACGTTGAAGGGTGGCATTCGAAAATGAACAAACTGGTAACCAGCCACCCCAACATATTTCGTTTTATCCATCTAATCAAGCAAGAACAGGCATTCGTCGCTGTAACTCTGAAACAGCTTGCTGCTGGTGCCTCTAGCAAACCCAGAAAAAGGAAGTACCGGCACTTGGAAGACAGACTGGTAACTAAAAAGCGGTGCCTCCATGAAGGGCATCACACCGTCATCGAGTACGGGGATGCTGTCTCCCATTTAGTTGGATTGTAAGATGTATTTTGTTGAAGATGTATTATTAATAGGAAAATGTTTGATTAAATAAAATGTTTAAATGATAACTTGTACATTATATGCTAACAAATTTAAATATTGTATTTTAGTATATTAATGTGTAAAAAAAGGTAGATTTAAAATGGAATAAAATATTAACTTAAACTGTTAATCCTCTGGTAAACCCTTAACCCTTAATCCTAACTAATCCCCACTGTTTTATCGTTAATTATTTGATTAATCCCTAAACAATAAAACTGGCACAGTGGGAGTAAATCATTTTATTGACAAATTTAAACCCAAATTAAACATTTCAAAATAATTACTTATTGTTATTGTATATCTTGACAAGCTCAGACGAAACATGTAGACAATTAAACAATAGTACTTTCTTTAGATATTTTTAACTTTATATTTATATATATATATATATTTTAAAAAAGAAAAATGTATAAAAGATCTAATTCTCAACGCATTAAAATGGCCTGACGATTCGTTTGATAACGATGAAAGTACTAGCCAAAAAAATTAATTTTTAGTGTTTTTTTTTCTCTAATATTCGAATTAACAGTCGCCTGACGGGGTTTCGATTCCCGGGTTGTACGTGACGAGGAGTAGGGTCGCCTGTCCAACCTCGTGGAATTATTGAATTAAAATTGAACCATGTTATAGTCCCGAAATGACCTAGTTTGTGTCGAGTCGACGTTAAACCTCTCTCTCCAACTACACCAACTTAAATTTTAAATCACCATCAAAAAACTACACAGTTCGATTGTTAATGTATTATTAATAATTCAAAAATATCTTTTCTTCGTACATTGTTCAACATACATTATGATGCGCAATATATTCATTTCTCTATGAGACTAACAATATTATATGCCATTATAAACAAACCGATGTCCGCTGGTACTGGGTGTAGAAAAGAAATCAATGTTCATGTTTATATCAGGCTCAACTTTAAACAATTCGTGTCAAACGTCGATCTTTTCATATCCAGGCAAACTTGTATTTTAATTGTCACTGTAGTATTATAAACAGTAGTATTAAGAAATTTGAGGGCGTGCAACATATTGTTAAAAAAAATAATAATAACTAAGCGTTTGCGCATGCGTACACATGTTAAATTTAATGGCCATTTGCGTGTACAAAAGAAAACGAAGAGTCCCAAACACGGAAATTAAAAAATTTGCTTCACTAGTTTCAGATCAATTTGTTGAGATTTTAATGTGACCAGGGACCTTAACTCTTTGTGACAAAAAAAACCCTGCCGCTGCAACGCGGCATGGTTGGTCAAAATTTCAACACGATGAAAACAAAGTTTGAAAAGGTTAAATCACTCAAAAATCTCACTTAGCAATACTTTAATTGTTCATGAATAATATAATGTTTTTAAATGTAAGTCTTATCATGTATGGTAAAATAAGCCTCAAATATAGTTTGTTTATTGCATATTTTTCTGTACGTGGATCACTCTATATTGCTATAAATACTAATAGATAGACATCGCACGTGAAATTTTCTACACATCTATCAACTCTTAAAGCCGTAAAAATCTATTGTTTACAGTAATATTAATTTATATTTTTTTTTTGTTACATCGGCTTTAGAAAATTCTGTTCATTTTTTTTAAAATTTGCGTAGTATTCAGATAAAATTGAACCATATTTTAGTCCCGAAATAACCTTGTTGCTGCAGGGGAGTGTACGTTAGACCGCATTTCTCTATCTCTTATTTATCAAGTGTAGAGTCGAACAGGCAGGGGTCGGAGGAAGGGGGCTCTCGACTATAAAATATCGCGGGTTCGAATCCCGGTATGGATTTAGAAGAACCCTCGGGATTATTCTTGTTCGGGTCTTTCTTGTCAGGGATGTCGTCCGTGGGGTGGACAATGAAAGCGGTCCATCTGGATATTTATTGACGTTGTACGTGACAAGGAGTAGGGTCGTGGAAATAAAAACAAACCTACTAAAACACTATTTTAATTTTAACTCTGCAAAATTAATCATCTTTCCGGACAGTATTAGACCTGAACTTTATTTTCATAATTTTAAAATCCTTCATACATGCGGGAATTAGAAGTATTAAGCAAAACCAAACAACGAAAGTATTGAAATCGATCGTTTCACAATTTTCAACTGCTGCATTTGGAAATTTCAAAGTTCTAAATTGGAGAAATTCGTCACTACTGAGGAATACTTATCAGGTTGAAAAATTACGGTGTAACTATAAGAATACCGTAAATTCTAAGGAGTTCGAGAAATTAATCTGTATAAAATCCCGCATTGTCAAAAATCACAACGCTTGATTGAGATCTTGCCCTGTCTTGTGCGAGCGGCAGAGAAATCAACCAATGGTACTCGTTGCCTGAAGTTGTCAATGGGGGTGCTCCATTGTCAGTTCAGAAGGTTCCGAATTGACAGAATTGCAATCAAGTGATACGGAATTCAGTCCTGTCACAGTTTTGCCAATACCAACACCTGAGGTGGTGTGTGTAGAATCGTAACGTATTTTAAGTAACAAATATGTTTCAGCTGCCATGATTGGTTGAGATATTTTTTATGCAGTCTAAGTGTTGGGTGCTAAGTTTTATTGCTTAATGATGTTTTACTACCTCTAGTCTCTGGTGTTATTATATTAGAGATCATATTATTGTTCGTTTATTACGTGTGTGTCAGTTTACCAGATGTTATATATCGTTGCTGATCGTGTACACGTGTGGGTATGTGTCGACCATAATTTGAGTTTCTTCTGAAAGTGGTTTTATTTTATAAGGGGAGACTGTGTACAAGGCGACATTGCAGTCGTATTTCGTTCAATTATTGGAGATCCTGGTCAAGAACTTGGGAAGGGATTCCTTATAGTCACTTTTTACCATCCGAAGAGCGTTGTGATCCCAGGCGAGCTTAGAAAAAATCCCTCCCTAGATAACAGATCAGTAGCCGAGGTTCCACAAGTGAGTCTTTGTGGATACAACCATTGGACGCTACACTAGCAACCTGCTGTATTTACAATAATCAAATACAATCTCTATCAAAACGAACATTTATGTTAATACATAATATACAAACAAATCTCCATTATATTATTTTAAACAATTTACATTAATTCCCCTTTATACGAAATCAGTGTTGCCCTGTCAACTACTTCTTTAATGCGTTCGAGTTAATTTTGGAAGGCATCAGTTTCCTATGCTTTCCACAAATTAAGTCACGTAAGATTAAACTTTCCCACTAGTGCTGTACAGAAGATCGATTCTCAAAATAATGTAGTCTATTTTGGATGATATAAACTAGAAAATAATTGTTTCTATTTTGATTACAAATCGTATAGACGCCTACTAGATACAACAATGTGCACCGTCTTATGCTGTCCTGGTGCTTGGTGTAAGATACAAGCACATATTTTCGACTGATACTAAGAACTTGACTAAATTGTTCCAATGGCATTAATAGTTACTGAACTGGAGTATACAGGTCACAATTACTGATTATTACTGAGCGACGTTTCGACTTGGTTTCTCTGTATTGTGTAGTTATATTTTATATTTTATCATTGCTTTATAAAGACTAGAAACATCTAGTCAAAACGTCGCTCGATAAGCAGTAATTACATTCCATAGAATGGTCACATGTAAATAAGAATATAACTCTGTCACTGTAATCAGATCACGAAAGCCTTGACGAATACTCTTTATATAGGAGTTTTTGTACAATCGCGTGGAAATGAAATGAAATGAGGATTAAAGGACAATATTGGTGCCAGCCAGTCATTATCACATATTGGCACATGGATATAAAATTGGTAGATCACTGAGTTTACTGTGGTCTGAACCCAAAAAAATTAATAATCATAGTTATCCCCCTTAGTGCATTAATTGTAAAATGAAAAGAGGCTTAAAGGACAATATTGGTGCCAGCCAGTCATTATTACATATGTGATAGAACTGGTTAAACACGTTCCACATATAATTTTATCACAGAGATCATTGCTACGATAGATTCGTAATCAATGTTTCAACAATCGGAAGTGACGAACGCAAAAGGAAAACACGAGTTATCCCTCTATATAAATGACTGAAGTGACGGGTGATAACAGATACATGGGCGAATTTCTACTCACTAATAATTCCTTCGAAGACGAACAGTTATTGTGTGAGACTGTGAAAGGATATCTGACAATTCATAAAAAAATTGACTGTCACTAGATAAGAGAACATGGAAGAAAAATACGAAAAGTCCGTGCATTACCATGTTTTTATAAGTATAGAATGAATAAACACAAAGGAATGTACGGACTATATCTTTTTCTCTCGTGTTCTCTTATCTAATGACATTCAATTACTTTTTTCAATTACGTTTTGGGAAAAACACGGACATTTTTCAGCAAAGACTGGGATCGATCCGAAGAAATCCTGGTTAGTGAGCTTGCGTCTTATTCCGTGATCCACGGTGAACCCCGGTCGATAAGGAGAGAAGGTTAGATCTAATCGAGAGAGAGAGAGAGAGAGAGAGAGAGGGGTAATTATTTTATCACAGAGATCATTAATCGCTTGGATAGATGCGTAATCAATCTTTCAACAATCGGGAGTGACGAACGTAAAAGGAAAACACGAGTTACCCCCTATATAACTGACTGAAGTGACGAGTGCTCACTAATAATTCCTTTGAAGACCAAAAGTTGGTGCGGTAAAGTGGTTAAACTATTTTATTTCATTCTATTTCAAATGTACAAATGATCCATACAGCAGAAGTCCCCATTTTGGAACTTGTTCCCACTCCGCTAGAAGATTCCAATTAATATCCGCATTGTTACCAATCATCTTTTTTTATTTATTTTAGCCGATTAATTCACCAGATGATGTGTGTGAACAACTCCAAGCTGTCTTATGTTTGTCTCGGAGCATAAATTATCATAAATATATTCTTATTACTAAATTTTAAATTTCAATCAGTATTTCTTTTATTCAAAATGTATATCTATCCTATATTAAAGTTACAAAAGGACATTATTATATAAATTTCAACTAATAACCAATGACTGTAATTGGTCATCCCACACGTTTTATGTTTAATAAAATTTTATCAGCAGCAATATTGTTTGTCTTGTGTGGAGAGGGTGGGACCGGTCGTCTCTTGTACTGAAAAGTTTATATACTAAACAGCCCCCCCCCCCCCAAAAAAAAAAACCCAACAAAAAAACAAACCCGTCAGTACGATTTTAAAATCAGACAGGCACTTTAATCAAACCATTCTAGTAAACGACTTACTAAATGGATCAAGGCAATTTTTTGTGAACAACATTAGTGATTAATTCATCACCATTCCGAGACATTACGAGAAGGTTTAGAGTCTGTGCACAGTCTATATATCAGTATCTGGTGTGTCCACCGCGAGTGCCAATAACAGCAGCACAGCGTCTGTACATGGAGTGGACCAGAAGATTGATGAACACCATTGGCACCTGGAACCACACTCTAAGAAAAGCCTGGCCTAATCCATCGGCTGTGTTTGGTCTCGGTACGACTTTATTAAGTCTTCTCTGAATTTCATCCCAATGATGTTCAATCGGGTTTAAGTCCTGACTAAGGGCTGGCCAGTGCATAACGGGGGTTTTCCAATAGGGGCCTACCTGGATGAAGACCGGGGCGGACCTTCTGTTTAGGGAGGCAGCGCATTATACTTACTGCTTGGTCATGCCGAATTTGAACCAAATCTGTTAATAATATCGACCTGTAGATTATTTACAGAAAAAATATTAACAACAATTTGTATGTATCACCGCGCCTGTGCGTCTGAAATGCACTAAAATCTATAGTTGCCGTCCTTGGGGTATAAGGAAAACGTATGCTATGTTCTAAGTTAATTCATTCCGAATTGCACCCTGTAGGCAATACACACAATAAATTCGACGTTGTACCACTCTGGAGGATCGGGCATGCATCAAAATCTATAGTTGCCGTCCTTGGGATATTAGGAAAACGTATGGTATGTTCCAAGTTAATCCATTCAGAATTGCACCCTGTAGGCAATACACACAATAAATTCGAAGTTGTACCACTCTGGTGGTCGTGCACCCATCAAAATTTATAGTTGCCGTACTTCGGATATAACGAAAAAGTTTGCAAACAATTGCGCCGTGTAGGCTATACACAAAATGGACGTGGCATCACTCTGGGGTCGGGCATTCATCAGGTGCCGTAATTAGGTTATAAAGAATAGGCATGCCACATAACTATGAAAGTAACGTGAAATACAAGATAATGAGATGAACATATTTTGGCCAATAATAGAAAGGTATTATTAGGATGGCCGTATATCCAATGTGTGAATTTAATTACATGCATTTAAGAGTGAGGGGGGGGGGTATAATAAATCTATCCTGTTTTACTGTGAATAGAAGCTTTAAATAACCTTAATTGAGAACGTTGTTTCTTTTCCAAAACCTCATAGGATCAGTAAATTTTATTTTGTTTCTCTAAAAACATTTTTTTTTTTTATTTCATAAATGTTTGGTAGATGATTAGTTCGCAATGTGGAAATGAATTTAATTTTAGGATCAATGGACGATAAGATAAATTTAGACATGTCCGTGGTTATTATTTGTGATTAATTTGTGTCCTCTTCACATCTCCATATAATAGTCATTATTCATTTCCTGTCAGTTAAAAAGGCTTTGTCTCAAATGAGTTGAAAACAATTAATTTACATAGTACTGGCAATAAAAGTTTTATTGTTCAACTGACAAATTACCCAACACTTATGATTATTTCCTCCCTGTTGGCTTTTATCCTTTCACAATGAGAATATGCTCAAAATTGTAATTTTACTGATATATAGAATTTCAACAATCTCATTAAACCACAGATCCTATTTTGTTTTCGTTTTTTATAGTGCAAAATTTCGTTTTACTTGTCTTTACTACACTAGGATCTGAAAGAGTTGTTATATAATCCGCGTTCTGGATGATTTGAGGGATTAGCCAATGAAACGGTCTGTTACTGCGAGTTTTTGCGGGGTGAGGTGCACGGAACTTTGGGTAAACCACTAGAAACGTCAATGCTGCTTGATTAATCAATGCCTGACGTTATAAGGTCAAAAGCTGCTCGTATGACCATGGAAAGTATAAAAAACCAAAGATGATCTGTATTTTAATCAGAGTGTAATTTTAAGTAAGACAATTAAAGGGTTTTTATTATTTCTCGAATATGAAAACCTTAATCTCACAATTCTACATGGACAGACCAATATTATCTTACATACTGCAGACCTTTATACACAAAGTTATAAAATGACACGGAAGTAAAACACATTGTAATATTTTTATTGTATCCCTGTTCCAGAATATCTACATTACACACACTGCATAACAATTGAACGTTCTATAGATAGGCCTATAAAATAACTAGGGCTGAACAAAAATTTCAGTAAATCAATATATTATATTATTATGTAAATTTATTGACAGTATGTTTGTTTAACATTAAAATACTGCAATAATCCATTATATCGTTTGACCGTATGTTTCCTTAAATGAAGGTATATTATATTTATCTAAATATATGTAAGATTGACCTTACAATGATTTAAATCACATGCGTCTCATAGAAATCTATTTGATGGGTTTATCCCCCGCCCGCCTCCCTTTTCGGGTATCTTTTCTTGAAGTATATTGCAATAATTTTTATATTTTTATAGCAATAATTAAAATTTCAAATATCGTCCAGCCCTAAAAAAAACAAAACAAACAAAAAGCCCCCCCCCCCCACACACACACACACATAAACCATAGCATGTTAATTGATCGGTATTTATTCAATTTGTAGAGTAAGCAGGCTACAGCGAAAAAAGAAATATAATATACACCGTTCTTACGCATCTTGATCAGATTTACGATTTTTTTTTTATTGATTCACGATGTTGATATTTACAATATTGCACATTTAACAACAAACGTTTACAGTTATAGCATAAAATGAAATGGGGTTTAACGTCCTACTGTTCTGCTCTGAACTGGACTAATGAAGACGAGCATACGCCATACAGTGTGCTACGAGGGAAATTTTGCCCGGGAAGCGGCACTATGGCCTACTCTTATATCGAATTCCAACTGCCAAGGGGTCTTTTACATGCACGCCAATGTATACACGGGTCTATCGGGTTTTCGTCCCATCCGAAAGACTAGACAGCTGTGCTTATCAGTCCCTCCATCCTGCACCACTGACAAGGGGAAACCACGTCGGAAAATCCCGATAGCCATATATTAAAATATAAGATTATAATAATTTTCACATTTAATAACTTAATATTATTATGTACATGTAGATGTACATGTAGAATTTCCTATCGAGAATTAAAACCTTGACCATTCTATGGAATGTAATTACTGCTTATCGAGCGACGTTTTGACTAGATGTTTCTAGTCTTTATAAAGCAATGATAAAATATAAAATATAACTACACAATACAGAGAAACCAAGTCGAAACGTCGCTCAGTAATAATCAGTAATTGTGACCTGTATACTCCAGTTCAGTAACTATTAATGCCATTGGAACAATTTAGTCAAGTTCTTAGTATCAGTCGAAAATATGTGCTTGTATCTTACACCAAGCACCAGGACAGCATAAGACGGTGCACATTGTTGTATCTAGTAGGCGTCTATACGATTTGTAATCAAAATAGAAACAATTATTTTCTAGTTTATATCATCCAAAATAGACTACATTATTTTGAGAATCGATCTTCTGTACAGCACTAGTGGGAAAGTTTAATCTTACGTGACTTAATTTGTGGAAAGCATAGGAAACTGATGCCTTCCAAAATTAACTCGAACGCATCTGGATTTTGTATAAAGGGGAATTAATGTAAATTGTTAAAAATAATATAATGGAGATTTGTTTGTATATAATATATTAACATAAATGTTCGTTTTGATAGAGATTGTATTTGATTATTGTAAATACAGCAGGTTGCTAGTGTAGCGTCCAATGGTTGTATCCACAAAGACTCACTTGTGGAACCTCGGCTACTGATCTGTTATCTAGGGAGGGATTTTTTCTAAGCTCGCCTGGGATCACAACGCTCTTCGGATGGTAATGGGTAAGTGTCAGCTAAAAAGTGACTATAAGGAATCCCTTCCCAAGTTCTTGACCAGGATCTCCAATAATTGAACGAAATACGACTGCAATGTCGCCTTGTACACAGTCTCCCCTTATAAAATAAAACCACTTTCAGAAGAAACTCAAATTATGGTCGACACATACCCACACGTGTACACGATCAGCAGCGATATATAACATCTGGTAAACTGACACACACGTCATAAACGAACAATAATATGATCTCTAATATAATAACGCCAGAGACTAGAGGTAGTAAAATATCATTAAACAATAAAACTTGGCGCCCAACACTCGGAGGGAATCACGGAATCATAACAGAACACAAAAAGGAACCTTCAGATATCCACTCACGTTCAAACACTGCTAATTCTACTTCATCATAGTTACGTCACTCCAAAACCATGTGAGAAGACGCGGACACCCAGTTTCATTCCGAGCGTGAACTTCTTAGCCACGTGTTTTGCTCATATTTTTTTTTGCTCATATTTCGTGTGCTTTTTTTCTTGGTAGAATTGCTTCTTGGTAGATTAGACACTGTTGGCCAAGTTGTTTAAATTCTACTGTTTCGTTCTACTATTGTGTAGTGGACACAACTGCTGTTTTTCGTTGGTTGCTACGCTGTTATCGACTTGCTCTTGCGTTAGCCTGTCTCGCCATTTTTAATATGGCGTCCAATGCTGTCACCGACGAAGAACGAGCTCTTTTAGAAGATGAAATACCTAGTAGGGGTACCCCTATTTCCAGTGACACACTTGGAAAACAAGCTAAACAACCTGGTGTGTTATTATCAGTTCAAGATACTATGAATCTTATGTCGCAGCATCTTGAGACTATTGGTCAGGCTATTTGTAAATTAGCCAACAAATCTGGCGGTCACCGCCGGTCTCATTCTGAAATATCAGAGACAGACTCAAGATCATCT